TTATATTTATATTTATATTTATATTTATATTTATATTTATATTTATATTTATATTTATATTTATGTTTATATTTATATTTATATTTATATTTTATATTATGTATATTTGTTAATCATTTGCTTTAGTGCTGCTGCACTTGTGCTGCTGCTGTCTTGCGTCTTGCTTACTTCTCTACTTCTGAATTGCTGCTGCTTTGCTGCTGCTGCTGCTGCTGCTTCCTGCTGCTTCTTCCTGCTGCTTCTTCCTGCTACTCCTTGCTGCTGCTTCTTCGTAGTCTTCTGCTGCTGCTTGTTGCTGCTGCTTCTTGCTGCTGCTTTGCTTCTGTTTATTGTCTTTATTTCTTTCTGTGTCTGACGTACTACAACAAATTTAAAAGGCTCATGCGCAATTAGTTTTTCAAGTGTATAGGCAACTTACAGAGAACACTCATGCTGCTGCTGCTGCATTTGCTGCTGCTGCTGCGTTTGCTGCTGCATTTGCTGCTGGTGCTGCTGCTGCATTTGCTGCTGCTGCTGCTGCTGCTGCTGCTTTTAGGAGTCCTCCTTAAACCAGGAGCAGCAGCAAGAGCTGATGGATGTAATTACTGCAGCAATCGAAAAACACTCAAGTGGCGGCGAATTGAATCATGAAGTGCAAACCCTAAACCCTAAACCCTAAACCCTAAACCTGAATAAACCCTAAACCCTAAACATCCCTAAATATCCCTAAACCTTAAACAACCCTAAACCCTAAACCCTACACAAGCGTAAACCCTAATAAACGCTAGGCAACCCTAAACCCTAAACCCTAAACCCAAAACAAGTGTAACCCCCAAACAACTTTAAACCCTAGACAATCCTAAACCCTAAACCCTAAACCCCAAACCCTCAACCCTGACCAAACCTAAACCATAAACTCTAAACACTGATAAACCCTAAACCCTAATAACCCTTAACCCTACAAAACCTAAACCTTAAACCCTAAACCCCCTAAACCCTAAGCGCTTTACAGCTAGCGATATTAACCCTAAACCCTAAACCCTAAACCCTAGAGCGTATTATCGTAGAAAATTGTGTTTCTTTGTCTGTATTGCTTTAACGATTTATTTTTGCTTTTGTTATAATTGTTGTTTGTTTGCTGCAGGCGATAGCAAAACAAATAAAAGAAAACTTGGACTCGCAGTGCGGAGGCTGCTGGCACTGCGCTGTAGGGGCAGGGTTTTCATATGCAGTTGAGGCGAGAGTAAAAAGCAAAGAAAATTAATTTTATTATTTTATATTTCTTTGTTTTCATCGTTCAATGCAATGCAATGGTGCTATCATATCTACCCAATTACATAATTTTTACTATCAATAATTATAATAATATTCATACTAATATTATTAATAACGTAGCATATATATACATATATATATATATATATATATATAATATAAATAATATATATATATATATATGCGTGTACGGGCGCATTTACATTTACACCTCCATCTATATAT